GGGCAAAGAGTTTGATAACATATCATTTTCATGGTAAGATGTGTATCCTATTTTCACCTGTGTTTTTTTAACAAGCCTGTCACATTTCTGGCTTCTGCATCACAAATGCGAGAAGAGTTGGACCCACAACCTTGTTCTTCTCTCCTTTTGTGTATGGTCTTTGAATTTTATCTTTCTCTGCTTTCTAATTTCGGCTAGTATTACATGGAATTTTAAGGAAAGAGATTTGAGGGAATCTTCTTTTGAGAATTTTCTAGGACAATCTATAAGTTTTTGGAAACCTTCCTGAACTTTCTTAGTTATAGTCCTGAAACCTTTCTTTGTATATATAGCATAAGTTGTTTAATTATCAGAATAAGTTCTCAAAAGTGGTTACAATGAACCTATTAAAGTTATAGCCATCTAAATTTTACCTAAATTTTCAAACTTGATACAACGTCAATGGAACTACTCTCTCTCTGATTGATTTATTTTTTTGGAACTACTCTCTGAAGTACACTTTTCTACATGAAGTTGTATTACTCAAGCTTTTCCTTATGAACAGCTCTAACCAAGGAGAGGGACAGACTTAAAAGGTGTTTAGTAGGACACAGGTTCTTAAAAGAGGCTGGCAACCAAATGTCTGTAGGAACCATCAGGGGAAAGTTCAAAACTCCAGTCTGAATCTTATGCTGAAACTTGCAATGTCAATTTTTTTGATCATTGGTCCAATATACACTTGATAGAGAGAATTCCGTTTATCTGTGATGTCAAATTTAGTCAGTTTTTGTAATAACATCACTCTTAATGCTCTTGGAGAGCTTTTGTGCATTTATCACATTGTGTTAAAATGTGACTCTCATAAATTTTTAGAAGTCATATAATTTGAATGATAAAGAAAGATTTGATTAAAAATATATTCCTGAATCTAACTTCCTGTTATGTGGCCTAAGGTGGCATTAAATTAATATGATGGCCCATCAGAGTAGGTGGTGTTTATGCTGGGAGACTTAGCAAGAGCAGCACCTTGTTCAGTCCTAACCTGCAGCTCAACAGGGAGAGTGGTCTGTAGAGCACTGGGAAGGAAGGAGAAATTGTGGCTATAAGAGAGCCTCCCCTTGCGCACACCAGACTTTTCTCTTCTCATTGCTCTGTTATTCGTTCCCTACCAGATCTTGAGGTGCATGAGTAAAGAAATTATCATGCCTCCAGAGTGTAGTACTGAAAATCAGCCTATACAAAATTAATGTAATTACTATGTTGATTTCCAGATGTTAGTTTAATGCCAGCCTATTAAAACTTCTAAAGATGAAGCTTAAAACAAACAAACATTCAAAGTAAATAAACACACAAATAAAGATATGCTGCAAATTTAGTGATAATCTGAAGCAATGGTAAAAAGCTCCAGAGAGGGCATTTTAGAAATTGGTTCTAGCCATTTCTGACTGGGGTCGACAGTCAGAATTTCCTCAGGCCCTCTTCAGCCTTTTTTTTCCAAAGAGCCTCCACATTCCTTGCTGCTCCCAGTCCTTGGCCTCTGTCTATTTGTGCCTCTCCCGTCACCAGCAACGCCCATGACCATATCCCTTGGCTCCATTGCTCCTGAACTTTGCAGCTACAGGGATGGTTTTCTATTCAGAGTTTTGAAATTTGAGGAAAAAGCCTCCTTCTGTTCAAAATCAGGACACATATGTATGCCTCTTTATTGGTTCTCTTGTGTCCCCTTTCCAGCCTCCTGCCTTCCCTGAGCCTCACTTGAGGAGGCCAGGTGGGCCCTGAAGGCACACCAGTTGCTGTGGAGTTGAGTCTGACTAATGGCGACCCCATGGGTGTCAGAGCAGAATTGTGCTGCATAGGGTTTTCAATGGCTGATGTTTCAGAGGTAGATTTCCAAGCCTTCCTTCAAAGGCATCTCTAGGTGGACTCAAACCTCAAACCTTTCAGTTAGCAGTCAAGTGTGTTAACTATTTGCACCTCCCAGGGACTCTTGGGTACACAAAGCTCTGGGTTAGGATGTGCCGCTACCACTTTCTAATTCTATAGTCTTGAGCAGGTTACTGAGGCTGACTAAGCCTCAGTTTTCTCACTGATAAAATTTTGGATAATAATACTTATTTCCTCAGATTGAAAGAATAAAAAAGATAATTCACATACATAGCGGTTGGAACATTACAAAGGCTCAATGGAAGGTATTATTATAATGATTAACTTTGGATCTTTTTCTACATTTAGGTTTCTAAGCTTTTCTGATCTCTACCTATAACTGGGAAATTACTTTCTTCTTATACTAGACTGATTTTTTTCTTCCCCAATGCAGGTTTTTATTAAATCTCTGGACCCCTGGAAAGTAAGATAGACAAAACCCTAAAGACTAGTTACAATTCATCCTCTAGTAGCCTAGACTGCTTGGTTCTAAAAATTGCTGGAGAAGATAAATTTACCACTTTCTCATGAAAAAAAAATTTTTGGGAGGTAATCTTAGAGTTGTGAATAATTGTTCTTAATATAATCCTAATATTATTAATTGTACTCATTATACTGGGCTAAATAATTTTATTCTTTTAGTATTGATTCATGCTTACATTAAGTAATTCTGAAGTCAAACTGCTTAGCTTGCCCTTCCTGAAGTGGCCAAGTTACACATGCCTCATGATAACAGTCTCTCATAAGTGAATTTGTAATGATATGCCTTCCCCATTTCCTCACTTCCTCTAGTCTCTGCCTGGATTGAGGCATTAGTGGTATCTAAACAACTGGTTAGATACCACATTACATATAGTTCAAAATTATTAGCCTTCTTATCACGCTGAGGAAACACAGCTGAGATTCAATGTCTGTATGTTGCCAGGCATCTCCAGTAGTCTAAGCACCTGGTTTTTAGTTGATACTTTATTCTTGAAGTAATTTCGTTTACTGATATTAAAATGTAAAAGACCTTTGGTGAAGGGTAAGACAGTACACAATACTGGGGAAGCCAGCACAACTTGTACAAGGCAAGGTCACGGAAGCTCCATAGATACATCCAAACTCCCTGTGGCACTGAATTGCTGGGCAGAGGGCTGTGGGGACCATGGTCTTGGGGAACGTCTAGCTCAATTGGCATAGCATAGTTTATAAAGAAAATGTTCTACATTCTACTTTGGTGAGTAGCGTCTGGGGTCTTAAAAGCTTGTGAGCGGCCATCTAAGATACTCCACTGGTTTCACCCCTTCGGGAGCAAGGGAGAAAGAAGAAAAAGAAAGACACAAGGCAAAGATTAGTCCAAAGGACTAATGGACCACAACTACCATGGTCTCCACCAGACTGAGTCCAGTACAACTAGATGGTGCCCAGCTACCACCAATGACTTCTTTGACAGGGATCACAATAGAGGGTCCTGGACAGAGCTGGAGGAAAATGTGGAACAAAATTCTGACTCACAAAAATAGACCAGACTTACTGGCCTGACAGAGACTGGAGAAACCCCAAGAGTATGGCCCCTGGACACACTTTTAGCTCAGTAATGAAGTCACTCCCAAGGTTCACCCTTCAGCCAAAGATTAGACAGGCCCATAAAACAAAATGAGACTTGTGCCCAGGGACAGGGACTAGAAGGCAGGAGGGACAGGAAAGCTGGTAATAGGGAACCCAAGGTCGAGAAGGGAGAGTGTTGACATGTTGTGGGGTTGTTAAGCAATGTCATAAGACAATATGTGTACTAACTGTTTAATAAGAAACTAGTTTGTTCTGTAAACCTTCATCTAAAGTACAATAAAAAAATAAAATGTTGAAAACAAGCACCAATAGCACCAAGTTTTGAGAAATAAATGAAATTACCTTCTTCAATACTCTAAAGCAAATCCAAAATTAAATTAGAATTCAGTCCTAACTTGTTCATTTTTATCCTCCTCTAAGATAAAACCTAGTACTGTCCAAATCATTATAAATTAAGCAATATTATTCTGGACAGCAATCCAAATAAGGAAATGTAAAAATTAGATACCGATAAGCAGTTCTTATAAAAGTTTCAAAAAAGTATGACTGTATGATTGATGTATACAGCTATACATGATATCCTTATTTTTCATGTATATAAAAAAACACTGCCATCAAGTCAAGTCCAACTCATAGCGACCCTATAGGACAGAGCAGAACTGCCTCACAGGGTTTCCAAGGAGCAGCTGGTGGTTTTGAACTGCTGATCTTTTGGTTACCAGCCACAGTTCTTAACTACTGCGTCACCAAAGCTCCATCATGTATATAAGTATATAATTATCTCCAAACCTATTAATAATTTTCTTTTCAATTGCATATTCTATAGACAACAGCTGCTATTGGGGGAAAATTCTTGGCTATTTTTGGGCTATACATAAAAGTATTTACACCAGGTTCAGTGGTATAATCATCAGGCTCTGAAGTGTACCTTCCAGGGATATACTGTAAAGATTTTCAACTGCAACAGCCCCTTAAAAGTTTCCCCTGCATTGACTCTTGCAGTGATCATTCAGGACTTGTTTTATTGCTTTAGCTATTTTAAATTTAGACAGAAGACCTTGCCTGATCATTTGTGGTGGTTTTCTTTCCCCCTATGTTACTACTACAGTTGTTTGTGTTTACTACTTTTATCTTTCTTGCATCACTTTCCCAAAGAACATCTACTTGCCTGCAATTTGCTTGGATTTCTCAGGGCTAGCATTATTTAGGGCAGTACATCAGGCCTGCTTCAGGTTCCAGGGAAATAATTTATTTAGATTCACTGAGAGGTACAAGGAATGTTAACAGGAATTCAAAGAGTGAGCAATTGTACATTTCTGCCTATACATGCATTTTCTACTTCCCGCTGAATTCACACAATTTATTTCTCTTTGATTTATTCATTCATTTTGTTTGCTGTGTCACTGCAGAATAGAAAAGTGAGATTTGGGGTTTTGAATTGTCTTACTGATGCTATAAGTGAAAAAAATTTATTGGCTGTGGCTCATCATTCTAGCTGTTTCTAAAAGAGAAACCAAGCCACATCCTTGGTGTTTCTGCATGCTTACCTTGTCTGACGGCTAGTGTGGTGGTATAGACCAAGAAGAGAAGGATGTAATTGAGGAAACTCTGGAAGACTGGTGTATTGGCATGGAAATCTTCTGACAGGTACTTGCTGGTCAAGCCAATCCCACAAATAAGGAGGGATAACACCTGGCCCAGAGCCACCGAGATTAACATCTCCCTGAGAAATAAAGAGAAACAGCAAAGATCAGCAGGAAGTCTATTAAAACAATAACCATTAAAATTTATTAAGCACTCATGCTGTGCACTGGACCAAGTGTGATAAACGTTATTTCTTTTAATCCATTACAGCAATCCTAAGAGGAAAGTGCAATTATTACTGATGTTTTACAGAGAAGGAAACCAAAGCTTAGAGGAGTTAAGAAGTTTGCTCACAATCATATAGCTGGGAAGTGGTAAAACTGAGATTTAGCCCAAGTCTCTCCAATTGAACCCAGCTTTTAGCCTGTGCATCCTGGGGTCTGTGGGAGAAATTAACATCACCTGATGTCCACTATTAATAACAAAGCGTTCAGTGACACTGAGAGAGTACGTGGAAACTGACCAAGAAGGATCATAGTCTGGCTTCATCCTCAGGTACTTATACCAATAAAGGGAGACTATTTCCTTTATCCAAGGAGCCCTTGTAGTGCAGTGGTTAAGCACTCAGTGCTAACCGAAAGGTTGGCAGTTAGAACCCACCAGCCGCTCCACAGGAAAGGATGTGGCAGTCTGTCTTCGAAACCCTATGGGGCAGTTCTACTCTGTCCTACAGGGTCACTAGGAGTCAGAACTGACTCAACAGCAATAGGTGTGGTATTTCTTTTATCCAGTGGTGTTTCAGGGGTAGAATTCTTGACTTCCATGAGGGAGATCCTGGTTCAATTCTCAACCAATGCACCTCAAGTACAGCCACCACCCACCTGTCAGTGAAGGCTTGTGTGTAACTATGATGCTGAAAAGGTTTCAGCAGAGCTTCTAGACTAAGACAGACTAGAAAGAAAGGCCTGGAAGTCTACTTCCAAAAAATCAGCCAATGAAAACCTTATGGATCACAATGATCTGATCTCACTGTGCATGGTGTCACCACGAGTTGGGGCCGACTCAACAGCACCTAACAACATTTCCTTTATCCATCCACCCATCCATCAGTTTGTTGTACTGTGGTGACTTGCATGTTATGATGCTAGAAGCTATGCCACTAGTATCTCAAATACCAGCGGCGTCATCCACGGTGGACAGGTTTCAATGGAGCTTCCAGACTAAGACAAACTCGGAAGAAAGACCTGGCTATCTACTGAAAATCAGCCAAATCTCATCTCACTTTCCTGGTTTATTTATAGAAACACACATATAAAATAAGTCAGCAGCAGTATTTCTAAACAAAAAAAGCCTTAGGGAGAAGATTTGTGAGTGTTATATATTTCCTCCTTATGACAGATGTATGTCCATCTTTCTGGAAGGGACACAGAGACCTGGCAAGTACCTTGCGATATCTTATTTTGTTTTTTGGTTCTTTTTTCAAAGGCACCAGGAGGAGAAAAAGTCTGGGCCCATGAGATTTTCCTGAGGTTAACCAGTCACATACTGTTATAGGCTTCTCACTGGTTGCCTTGTTTCCAGGTACTGGCCCCCCAACACTTGATTTCAATCTCTATACAGGAGTCAAAGAGAGAGTTTTAAACATGTATGTTAAAATGCTGCTTAAGTGGTTCCCTATAAAATTCAGACACTTACAAGTCCTGTGGTAAACTTTCTACAAGATGGTTGCCAACATTTCCTCCCATCCTTCAACATTCACACAGCCCCCCCAAAGAGAGGTGGGATCTACTTCTCCTCTACCTGAAGCTGAGCTGCTCTTGGGACTTGCTTTGACCAATAGAATGTGGGGGAAGTGATGCCGGTGGAACTAAGCCTTAAGAAGCCCTGCAGCTTCCATTTTGTGCCTTCTTAGGATCCATCTTTTATGCAAAGAAACCCGTGCTAGACTACTAAATATGGAGAGACCGCATAGAAAAAGAAAGAGACATCCAGCCAGTTATGGCCACCTCAGCTGAAGTACCAGACATGTGAATGATGATTTTGTATCTTCCAGCCCCAGTCAAGCTGTGTCAACCTATACCAGATGGAACAGAGATAAATCATCCCTATTGATCCCTGCCCAATTGGAGAATTGTGGGAAATAATAAATGGCTGTTGTTGTTTCAGGACCTGAAGGTTTGTAGTTGCTTGTTATGCAGAAATAGATAACTGAAACAAGACCCTTAATATTCTCCCCTCATTCCCACTACTTCTGGAGCATCTCCTCCTGTTTCTCCCGGTAAGATTCCCCAACAAAGCGCAAGCTCCAGCCCTACAGAGCTACTTGTACTTCAGTGAGTCATGGTCTTCTTTGCCAGTATTCTTTTGCACATGTTATTATTCTGGAATGTTCAACCTGCCTTTATCAGTCTGATTCCCATTCATCCTTCAAGATTTGGCTCCTATGTCATCCCTTTGAGGAGTCTTCCCTCCCTCTCTTCCTTGAGATGCTTCTTCTCTGTTACTCCTATCTCACTGTATTGTAACGACTGCTTTTACATCCTTTTGCTCTCTGCCAAAGGAGCCCTGGTGGTGCAATGGTTAAGCACTCAGCTGCTAACCGAAAGGTTAGCAGTTCAAACCCACCCACCCAGTGGCTCCACAGGAGGAAGACTTGGTGATCTGCTTCTGTAAGGATTATAGCCGAGAAAATCCCATGGGGCAGTTCTACTCTGTCACTTGGGGTCACTATGAGTCAAAATCTACTCGATGGCAGCTAACAACAACACCCCCTCTGCCAGACATGAAGCTTGTACAATATTCCTCATTGTATCGACAGTGGGGAATACCATTTATACGAAGTAGAAAATGGAAGGATTCAAAGACAGTGCAGAGTTGGAACTAGATAACACTGAACCTTTATTGGAATGAAGAGGTGATAAAGGAAAGAAAGGTGGAGGTAAAAGGTCAAGAATTAATTCAAAGTTTTTTCTTTATGCCTACCAAAAGGAAATATAATATCCACTGACAAAAAATATGATAAGGAGTTGGTTTTAGTGGAAAGATAGTAAATATTTCAGGTACATTGATTATGAGCTGTCAGAAGAGCTTCTAAAAGATCCAGCAGTATTAGAAACATGAGATTACAGTTTGATAGGTAGGTCAGCCAAAGATAAATTGTGAAAGTTGATACACATAAAAGTTATAGTTACAGTAATGGAAGTGGATGATATCATCAGGAAAAAAGAGTAAAAGAGAAAATAAGAGGTTCTTGGAAAAATCCTTTGAGGAATACCAAGAAGGGATAAGAGGATATCACTGGAGTTAAAAGTGGTTAGAGGGGTAAGAGAAGGACCAGAATAACTCTTGGTGTCAAGGAAGCCAAGGGAACAGAGAATTTCATGTAAGGAATAGTTGAAATAATGAATGTAGCTTGGAGGGTAGTGAGAATGAGGACCTGCATGAGGTGATCTAGAAGTCACTGCCAGCAGTTTAAAGACTGGAGAGCACCAAAGCAATACTGATATCATGGAAACCAAGAAAACAAAAAATTTAATGGACAGGATAGTCAGTGGTGACTAAATGGATAGAAAATGAGGAAATAAGGGTGTTGACTTCGAAGAATTGTGATGAGTTCAAAGAATTATTTAAAGAAGCTTGATCTAGTCACCACATAACACAATAATAAAATGATAATGTCATGGTTTGAATTATGTCCCCCCAAAAATGTGTTTATCAGTTTGCCTAGGCCATGATTCCTGGTACTGTGTGATCTTCCTGTATGTTGTAAACCTGCCTCTGTGATGTTAATGAGGGAGGATGGGTGGCAGTTGTGTTAGTAAGGCAGGGCCTGATCTACAAGACTGGATTGTGTCCTGAGGCAATCTCTTGAGATATAAAAGACAGAAGTAAGCAGTGAGATGGGGGACCTCATACCATCAAGAAAGCAGTGCCGGGAGCAGAGCACGTCCTTTGGACCGGGGTCCCTGCACAGAGAAGCTCCTAGTCCGGGGGAACACCGAAGAGAAGAAGGCTGACAGAGAGAAAAAGCCTTTCCCTGGAGCTGATGCCCGGAATTTGGACTTTTAGCCTACTTTTACTGTGAGGAAATAAATTTCTCTTTGTTAAAGCCATCCACTTGTGGTATTTCTGTTATGGCAGCACTAGATAACTAAGACAGAATTTGGTACCGAGAGAGTGGGGTGCTGCTCTAACAGATACATAAAATGTGGAAGCGGTTTTGAAACTGTGAATGGATGGAGGAGCAGCAGTGGCAGAGGACCAGCAACAGCAGAGAACCTGCAGTGGCAGAGAAGCAGCAGCAGCAGAGAACCAACAGCAGCAGAACAAGGAAA